TATCCATCATATTTCATCCCTGAAAGAAAATTATAAATGCTTTTGGATATTTTTATAAGTTAACAAAAATTTTAATACATAACAATGCAAAAGTAATACTAAAAAATAATACTAAATTGGCTATAGGTTTTTAAATCCCAGGAGTTGAACTTAATTTTTTAAAGTTATAGTATCAAAAATTTTACAGAAAGTTAGGTTGATATAACCTGAAATGATGAGTTTGAAGTAACTAAAATACTATAGGGATTCTCCCAGACTATTTTAGCCAGAACCTGCAATACAAACTGTTTTGCTTAGAGGAAAGTTATATCTTTTTTTCTGTTTTGGAGAAGATGGAAGGCTGAAAACAATAATGGGGAATAAAAACATATCAATTTATTTTATTTATTGATGGCTAAGCAATGATAATTTTATTTAATAGAATGAATAAAACAAATTTTGTTCATAAAAAATAGATAAACTTTTCTATTAGATATTGTCTACAGGATAGAGTACTAGAAGATCATAGAATCACAGCTTAGGTTTATTCCCTTGAAATGTACATAGAATAAACTGTGTCTATTCAATATCTGTTGTGTTTTCCCTAAATTGTTCCATTACCCATGGATTTAGATTTTGTGAGTGCAGTTCGGCATATTATGTGTGTCATTTTCAGGATGTGTAATCTGGGAACATAAAATCAATTATGAAGCAAAATTGCATTACTGAATTCAGAAGACCTAAAGAATGCTAAGAAATTTGTGGAACTGACAACTTGAGAAAATTTTCTTAATGCAACTCATATTTAAAACCAGTTTCTTAAATATAAACGAAAATATTGTCTAATATTTGTTTCCAATTGACATGAAAGAGTTGAGACCTGGCAGGCTATGGATATTAGAGCACTGACATGAGGGATATTAACTGTTGGTTGTATTTTTTCCATAGAGGCTTTTATAGCAAGGGCTATAACTGACTGTGACAGGCTTAGCTTGGTTAGGTTTCTCTTCAGTTTAAAATCAACACCATGCATCTTCACTGTGCTCTTTCTTCTTTATCTTCCCAACATCAGAAAAATTCTTTCTTTCATTTGTCTTGAGTGACCTCCAGACACAGGCCACTGGTTTTTACTAAGGGATAGGACAGAACCCATTAGAAATGCTTATTTGTTTTTCTGGCAAAAATGGCACCCATGATGCTTTGCTGCTTCTCAGAGCGCTAACTAACCGCCACACATATGCCATAGGACTCATCTTGAAAGGGCAGGTTGTCCTTGTTGAAAGAAAGTTGTTCTTTTCCTTTGGAGAACATCTGGGAGTAATATTCCCATGTATCAACTCTGTTAGCTCCTGTCTCACCCACACCAAGACACCTGGCTGCCAGATACACACACTGACTTGTCAGATTCCATCAATTCATCGGCAGCACAGAGAGTCTTTGGATTGGGGTGGCCCAAGGGTGTAATGCTAACCAAAGAAAATATCACATTTTATCTTTTCTCACCGAACAATAATTATCTGAGAAAGTTGGTCAGCCAACCCTTGTTATTGTTCTTTGTGTCTGGTAAACACTCACCTGACCCCCTCATCCACTTTGTTGAGCATCTACTGCAAAAGTGAACTCAGATCAAATTTCTGAAGAACTTATCAGACTTTCATGAGCATCCACATGTGTTTTTCTCAAGGTAAATACAGTCAGCCTTTATGCATCTCTGAGCATGAATATTCTTGCTGTTTTTGATAAGATTCATTATATAACTTAAGAAGGATTGTCTGTATGCTTAGATAGGGTGCTGGAGATTTTTAAAGAGGCTCAGGTATTTCAGCTGTTTCCAAAGAATTCACTATGATTTAAATTCAAACCAGACTGAACTCATCAACACATTTCTTTGATGAATTATTATTTATGTGAACTGACAAAGCAGTGTGATTTTTCTATCAGTCATCAAATCTGCCCCTTCACAGTTGGCAATAAATCTTTATTCTTTTCAGTAAGAATGCTCTTAATATGCTTACAACCTGCTGTTTGTTGTGATTTTTGAGGTGGATAATGTTAATTCATTTTTTTAAAAAAATTCGATTCGAACATTATCTAGCTCTTCATTGGGTTCAAAACTAGAAAAGACACCTTTCTGCAAATTTACTCCTATGATAAATGCTCACCAAGGACTTAATAATGTTGGATTGCTTTATCTTAACAGGTACTCAAGGCTCAAACACACTGTGAAGGAAATTAAAGAAGATAAGAAAATAGGATATCTTTGCCAATGATGGAAACCAGATGTAATAGATCACCTCTCAATGAACATGACTGTACAGGACACCTGTCAAATAATCAGGCAGATGTGTCAAATATTTGCTATGTAGTGATAAGACATTGTTGTTTCCTGATAAAGTAGAAGCTTAGGGATTATATCTTTTTATCTCTTTGTACCTTATTAATCCATCATTAAAGATTTCTTAATGAACAGCTTTGTAGTTTGCTGTATTTTAGAACTAGTGAAAAGTATAAAGATTTTAAGATTGCAAAATTGTCATCTAAACTGGATAAATCTAGAGAAAGGTTTCTCAACCTTGGCACTGTTGACATATTGGGTCATATAATTCTTTGTTGCGTGAGATCATCCTGTTCATTTGAGTATCTTTAGCAGCATTCCTGCTCTCTACCCACTAAATGCAGGTAGTACCTCATCTCCCCTGGTTGTGACAAATAAAAATGTTTCCAGAAATTGCCAAATGTCTCTTAGGACATTTTCTTTCCCCTGGGCAGAAAACTCACTCTAGAACATCTGATCCAGAGTAAGATCTCCATTACACATCAAATGGAGAAAAAAAAAAAAAAAAACTGATGCAAGTAGGCATTCCTCCAGAAGCCGACACTGAGACAGGGATGGGAGTGCAAATAGTTTATATGGGAGATGATTTCAGGAAGTGTCAATAAGGGAATGGAGATGATACAGTGACGGGAAGAAAGCCAATAAAAAAATGTGTTGTCAAGCTGGGTACCTCAAGGGTAATTAGGGCTCACTGTTGCTTAGAATACAGTGCTAAATACTTCTCGAAATTATTCAAACTATGGGGAAGGGAACAAGAGTATTTTTATCCTAGGTCTGTCTCCAAGAGTCATTAACTTTTCCACCTTTCTAGCCTTCCCTGCAATGGGCTGCAGAGATTCTGGCAACTACAGAAAGCCTCAGGCATGGAATTTCAGAGCTTACCTTTGGAAATTGTAGGGGTTGCTTGCCTGGAAATGGTGAGAGCCTAAGGGGAAGTCACCTGCATCTATCTTGATTACTCTTAACTCTGACTTCTTCTCCGCACTCTCATCTGTCTCTGACCTCATGCATTTTCCACGGGAAAGGGAGCAAAACTTACCTTTTTTACACCGTTCCTTTCATCTAAGAAAGTCCTTACTTTTTCTTTCCTCTTCCACTCCTCTTTCAAAATTTTATAATCTATCAAGGTCTAGCTCAAATGCCACTTATTTCCTCAAGGTTCCCTATGCTCTTACTCTAAGACGTCACCTCCTGACCCCACCTTTGAACTTCTAACCAACCTCTACTGCTTACCCTCATTCTACCTGGAATTAAAGTTACTTTTGGGCCCCTTCCCATCCACTAGATGTATGTTCCTGTAGAAAAAGGGAAGTTCCTGTAGAAAAAAGATTGAGTCTTATACAATGCCATACTTCCCAGGTGGTCTCGCATAGTGCTTTGAATATAGTAAGTGCTCAAAGTTATCAATTGGAAGAAAAAATATTTTTATCCTTCGACTCTTTTTTTCTTTAGAAGAAAATTTACTTTTTGTCCAGCTCAATTCCTGGGTCAGTGTGGGGCATAGTGGGAGCACTTTGTGAACTCTGGCTTCCTCAGAAGTGGTGAAGACCACAAACTATCAGTTTGGGGAAACTCCACAATCTCTCTACAGGCATCACGAGAATAAAGATTCCTCGTACTTTTTTAATCAGTGCTAATTATTCGTTATATTATTATGGGTATTCAAAATAATATACAGATGGCCCTGTCCGAAGAATTACAAAGGATTGCCTAGGCCCTTTTGGTTATCCAGGTGTTTTCTATTTTTTTCCACTGCCAGGGTGACTTGTGTTAAATCTGGAAAGACAGATAACTTACCAAATGCAGAGCAACTCCTGAATGCATTGATGACGACAGTAAGGTAATGATTTCTTAACTTCCTTTGCTTACTGATACTTTCCTGAATAGTTTCAGTAAAGGAGCTAGCATACCAGGGAAGATTTTCTGCAGCAGATAAACACCGAGTATATTCTACATTCTGAATCAGTGTTGGTGTTGTTGGTCAATGATTCAGGAGGAAGAAATAATTCTCCCTTCTGCTATCTAAAAATCTAAAGTTTGGAGGAACGGAGATAGCACTTTTTAAACCCGGTCAAAATCGCACAACTTGTAAGTGGCAGAGTTGGAATGTGAATCCATGCCCTTCTGATTTTAGAAATGGACAATGTTGGCCGTGCTGCCCACACATAACCCTCTCCTACCAACATCTTCACCATTCTACCACTCCTTTTTTTCCAACAGGCAGCCCTTGCTGACCACAGGTAAAAGTATGCATTTTGCCATCAGGGAAAACACAAAGGGCATGGATGGGCCCTAAGCTTCTAAGGACAGTCATCAGCCCTGAAAAATCCTCTAAATTACTATATTGACTACTCCTAACCATGAAAAAAGAAATAAATGTAATATTTTTCATTGATATCATTGTTCCATTAATCCAAGCTGTCAAATTATAAAATGATTTTTCCAGGAGAGTGAGTCCAGCATTATCTTCAGTTACTGGACCAGTGGTCGTGAGTCCTCAGTGGTCTGAATGGATTAAGAAAAGAGCATCAAGATGGAGACCTTCTGCCATCATGTTTTGTCATTCATGTCTAATTGGATTCATTTTATTTTCAAGTGGCTGATTACACCTATAATTATTTCCAAAGTTATTTGCATCCTCAATATAATGTAGTTAACTTGTAATTTATTTTTTACATCCATAAAACTAGTTCCAAAATTGTCTTTATTGAAATATATAATTAACATGACACAAACTTGTTAATCCACTTCACCCATTATGCATGTTTGTAGCTTGATTGTAGTCTTTCAGGAAAAGAAAACTTTTTTTAACTTTGTAGGAGATGGAATATGTAAATCCCCAAACAACTGCCTTTGTTCTTCACTGCTGGAACATGATTCCCTCCCCAGTTTCCTGTGATAGGAAAACAAAAAGGGATCAAACATGTGGTGTTTTGTTTTTGTTAACAGTATTAGGTCATCAGCTCTTCCTTATTTCACATATTCATACTTGGAAAAGGATGTAATTAATTATCTATTCCTAATGCTTTCTTCAAGAAGCTTCTAGAAATAGAGACTTGAGACTCTTAGAGAAACGGAAGCAGCAAGAGGAAGTTAACATTTATATGCATGGGCCATAAGAAATATATCCTTCTTTATTTCAAATTGGCAACAAAACAAGGAGAATAAGAATGTGTATACATGTAGACCACATACTGTTTTATTTAATTTATACAGAACATAGCATATCATATGCATCTCTGCTTAATATTTTAAACCTCTAATTATTTAGAATTGAAACATTCCAGAATGTAAATGTCCAAAAGGTTAGTTTTCTCCCAGCTCTCACCAATGATTCATTATCTGGAACAACTGCAAAATCTGTGTAGATCTCAGCCTAAGATCTATTTATACTACACAAACACACACACACACCCCTATATATATATTATATACATGATGCATGTTAAATGTAATATATATGATTTATACCTAATATTAGTGATAACTCAGTTAAAATATTTAGTTAACCATAATACTGCATTTACTAAGCATTCTAGAGAATAGAATTTGGCTTCTAATAATGTTCTTCAAATTTAAATTATATTTTACTATAAGATTTATGGTATCTCTCACTTGACCAGCAGAAAACTTGAATAAGTGGGTACTTCTGTTTTAACCCAACAGACCATAAAAAACTCCTATATATGAAAGACAGGGATTGGGAAAATGGCTGGCTCGTTTGCTTGTTTGTCTGAATCTTGGGTTCTTTACCTCACCTCTGTACAGAGAGGATTTGAGAAGACTGAACGATTAAAACAAAAAAGGTAAAAGGCTAAATAAAATTATAGCCCTAGAAATATATCTAAGAATAGATATTTAAGGGCACATTGGGATAAATATCACAAATATGGGAGCTCTAAATGTCTTTGTAGTTTAATGGTCAAATTTTAATTCCTTGTAGCATTCTCATTGTATTTTGTTTTTTTGTTTGTTTTGTTTTGTTTTTTGTCGGCAGCGGAAGCAACAAGAGATGAAATGTTACATCTTTTTTTATAATAAGGAAAATATTGTTGTGTACTTTCCAACACCCCAATCTTGAAAGAATTTTGTTCTCTGAGTTTTCAATTGGTAAAATCCATAGCAGTGTGATCTGTCAGTTGTGACAGAAATAATATATATATATATGTGTGTATATATATATATGTGTATATATATATATATGCCATTGAAGCTGGCAGTTTTATCTAGCACTGTCCTGGAAAGAAAAAGAAAAATTTGTTCTTGAATGAAAAAGCAATGCATGTTTTCTGGCTGGAATAATGTACTGAGTCCTAGGTTCTGTAAGAAATTTCTCTTTAAATTATTCATCCCTCTTGGCTCTGCTTCTTATGTTTCCTCAGCAAATCTAAATACGGCAGGAAAAGCAGACCCCAGATGGAGGACACTGGCATTCCAGATTACGAGTCAGACTCTGAGGAGCTTGATAAGAGTGAGTCAGCCTCCCTGAGTCTGATCAACTTGGGAACTCTGACGACCCTGTGATAATTTTAGTAGAAAGACATATTTCCTGCCCCTGGAGACATCCAACCCCATCCTCACCATCCACAAGTATTCTTATCATTAGAGAAAAAGAAACAAATCACTTCAGGCAAGACTGTCTTTTCTAGTGTAGATTCTGTAAGAAATTTATCAGGTAAGATTTTGCATCGGATATTCTGGCCTAAGTAGTAGATGACACCTGGAAACACAGGCAGAGGGCAGGTGGTTTTTATAGTATCCTTTGATCAGAACTGAGGGCTGCCATTAGAGCCTGGAGAAAAATACTTCAAAATAAGGCCAAGATAATGTGTTCCAAGTGGTACCATGTTTTCAGTGATCTGGACTAACACATAAATGAAACTTTGAGTGCCTAGGGAATTGCCTTCCAAAAATCCTCCAGATGGTCACTTCCTCAAGAAGAGAACCTAGAGGCAACCCAGGATTACATTCTCTATGAAGAGTCCAGAGTCTATAAGGAGAATTTAGTCTAGAGGAAGGGCCTGAGATCCTTATCCTGAGTTTGTTGGTTGAAGGAGCGTCCTATACTTTGGGATTTGGGAAAGGGGAAACTTACTCAATTTCAGATCCTTGTTTGGAAATAAAGAATCCTAACCAAGACCCTGGCCTCAAAGGTGAACTGCTCAGCTTCTACAGAGAGTGACTCAATAGACAAACTAATGGAAAAGTAGAAATTTTTTTCTAACAGTTGTATTTATTCTCTTGTAGCAAACAAGCAAATGGCTGACTCCGCCTCTGAAGATCACCACTGTGATGAGTTTTACCTGGGAAGCTTCTGGAGCAGAAGTTGCCATGAGCATCTGTTTCACTGTGCCTATGGAGACACAGCAAGGAAACGTGTTAAAGGATATTAATTTAGATGAATAAAATGTATTTAGTTGAATAAATATTCTAATTTTATATTGAAATTACTTTTATATGATTGTGTTTGATGCACTGATTTCATCAAGCAATCTCACTAGTTACTATGAACAAGCCACATTTTATTATAATGGCAGTGGACATTATAAATGAATATAAAATTCTTCCAAGTCTCTTACAGCCTTTATTTGATGATGCCCTTTGTTCAGTAGAAATGTGGTTGCTCCTGAGGGATTTAACAATATGATAACTAATGTCTTAGAAAGGTGAAAGTAATTTAAAATTATTTTATTATATAGTTCAGTTATGTTTATTATAACTATGATAAAATGCTGACAAGAATAAAATGTCAAATCACCCATAATCACAACACCCAAAGATAATATTTTGGCATGTAACTTTATCCTCCAGTTTATAAAAAATATATTTTGTAAAATATATCAAGAAAGAAAGAGAGCTTGTTGGTTTCCAGGAGTAATGGAGAGCAACGCAGCCCCCAAAGCTGGCTGTCTGATACTGACTAGCTAAGTGAACTGGCACACATTGTTCAACTTCTCTATGCCTTCACTGTCTCATCTCTAAAACAGATGCACATTGTCTGGTAGAAATGGTGTCTATCCCCAGATCCCATCTCACCAGACCAAGTATTAAGTAACTGATAAAAGGAATAAAATGTTAGTATCTCTCTAGTGCCTATTTTCTTCTTATTTATCCTACTTGTATTATTTCTCACTTCCTTTCATTCCTCCTTGTCTCCTGGATTTTTAAAATATAAATCAATTAACTAAATTTACTTTTTTGACAATAATCAGCCATAAAACTTTGTGTAGCCCAAACTCTTTTTGCATTTAATGTAAGTTTTAACTCTCTTTTCAGGAAAAAAAAATTAATAGTGTATGGAATAATACAAGCAGGTATCTGGATAATATTTCAGGCCATTCATAGCCCATACTCAATTCCCTAAAGAAGCTAGAACCCCTATTCTGGCTTGCTTTCTTTCCTCTGTTCTCTATTTGGATTTTCTTGTCTGATACTCCTCTCAATAACGCATTAGAACCTTTCCTCTTCGGGGCCCAAGGGAGAGCTTTCCCCTTGGTCCTCTCAAGTTTCCATGAAAAAGCAACTTGCAAAAGGTAGATTAATTGTAGAAAAGGCTTACAAATGTATTTAATGTGCATACACAGGAGCCTTCAGAATAGACACCCAAAGATAGAGAAGAAATTGTTCATTTTATGCTTAGGTTAAACAAAGTATGGATGATTGTGTAGAAATATGATTGGACAGGAAGGGTATGATCTCATGCTAACAGATCGAGTGAGGAAAGCCAGCAAGGCCTGTCTGTATTCTTCTTGGCCCCTTCGAGCATGTGTTTCTTCTTTCTAGGTATGAGTCAGGACCCTCTCTGGAATGGAGGTCTTATGACCTACAGTCAAACAAGGTATATCAGATAAATTATGGCCAGTTTTTACACAGAAAGATGTGGAAAGGCAGTTAAAGTAATATTTTTAGGTTTTTATGACTGGTTTTGGGGAAAAGGGGTTCTGGTTTCTATGACCTGCCTTGTAGAAAAGGGATTCTAGTTTCTACGATAGTCCTCCAGGGAGAGTGGGACTAGGAAACAACAGGGCAAGAGGTCAGATAAAAACTTTTGCTTCTGAGGCTCCTTCTGAAGCCTTCATTTGGGGGTATTGTTTTCTGAGTCCCAACACCCCTCAGTCCACTGGTAGAACAGACTTTCCATTTGCTTCTGCAGCTTACGGTCAGCAGTTATGGGGCTAGTGGACAGGGATAGGGGTGTGGTGTTTGATATGGGAGAGAAAGGGGAATACACATCACTCAGTTGCTTCTTACAACCTGCTGGACCTGCAGATGACCAGTTCTATGTACAGTCAGTGCTAAATGTGACAAAAACACTTGTGACTCCCAAACATGTGGGGAAATGAAGAGAAAAAGATATAGTATAAAAGAACGAGAGAACAGTCTCAAAACTAGTAGAAGGTTCTGCATAATATGGGAAAGTCTTTGTGGGCTCTGGCTACCAGATGCTTGCTATTCAAAGATTTCATTACTGTGCAATTCATAGGCATCTAAAATACCAGGAAATATACTAATAGCATTTGCAGTCCATCCCAAACCAGGAAGATTTCAAGAGTGCTCCATGTGAGCTCAGCCTTTTGCTTTGTTCATAAAGCAACCTGATCGCTTGCCTAAGAGAGAAAATAGAATGCTTTTTAACCTTGCCTTGAAATTGTAAAATTTCTGTCATAAAAATAAGAAATAGTATATGAAGCCTTGGGGTCAGAACGCCCACTGGTTTTCAGGAGTTCTCAATAGAGTTATTAGGCTTTGAAGTAACAAGGTGAATGGAGATTATGGTTTCATACTAGTATTTGAATTTCCTGAGATTTGTTTGCTTGAGAAAGACATTTAAACATTCATTAAAAATGTTTAAAGAATTGAAAGAGCTGTTTTCTTGTTTGCAAATCCAGTTTTTAAAATAGAAACCTCTAAGATGGAATGGAACAGTCACTGAACTTAAAACTGCATTTTATATGTTTTTTTCTTACCTTATAAAAATACCAATCCCAGGATTCAATTTGTATAATTCTTCTGTTATACTCCAGTAACATCCTTAAATATTAGAAAATGTTTACTTTGTGGCAGAGAGGGAAGAAAAAGATAACAGATCCTCCACCACATGATAAACCATGATATTTTCCTCAGTTGTTAGTCACATTGTACTTTTGGCTATGCCCCAGAAACCACAACCCTCAATTACATTTGCTTTCAGACATGTGGAAGAAACACATGCTAAAGCAATTAACAAAATTATGACATTTACATTTTTCCCCTGTCAGTCCCTGTGATTCTTCAGCATATGATTCTATGTGAACCAAAACAATCATACATCAAGCTGACCACGTTTATCCCTATCTAGTGCTTTGAAAATGTCAAAAAGTAAAACAGAAGAAAACAGTTTTTTCATAGACTTAGCACACTCTACTCCCTGTTTGGCAACAAGAACCACATGTGATAATGGCGGAAAGGTAGCATCACGTCTTATCCCAAAGTCATTGCACTCTGCAGACAGCCAACTGACTTTGATGACTAGTAGCTCTGAGCTGTCTCATTTGCCCTGCGTTTGCTGTTCCTCCTTCTCTGTTGATAGATTCTAGTGCTCATTAAATGGAACGTGTAGTACAACCTGAAACTAATGACCTTTAAGCAGAAAATGAAAGTAGAACATCAAATTTTCATAGTATCAGGAGATTTGTTGTAGCAATGGTAAGTGTATCTTCTAACTCTATCAGCCAATATGTAATAGAACATCTCAGAGAACAGTAAGAGTGTTGTGCATTTGCTTATGGCCCTATAACCCAATTTACTTATAGGACTTTGATAATTGTTCACCATTGACTTCATATCTTCATAATCTCACAAGCATTCATTAATCGTCTACTGTGGGCCAACCACGTAGACACTGCATGCGTAAAGATGAATAAGGCATGGCCTTTGCTCTCAGGAAGCTCACAAAACAGCGGGAATGACAGACGTATATGTTAATGATATTGCATAATGGGATAGAGTTATAACCAAGCTAGCTAAAACACTCTATGAAGCACAGATAAAGAGACTTCATCTGTGAGTCACAAAGGAAGTTGTGACCCTGACCACAGCCAAGAAATATGTCTTTAGTAATCATGCTATCTATCTTTTAGTTTGCCTTTCTAGATCTCCTCCCTACCTTTCTCCACCCTGTTCTTGACCCATGAAGCTGACCTCTAAGGACTGGACCAACAGGCTCTTTTGCCCTCTTGGCAAGAGATAAGAGGATTAGAGGAAGAGATTAAGCCATTTGTTCCCCTCTACTTCCCTGCCTAGTTTCCATGGACTGGTGGCATCTTTCTACCAAAGGCTATAGATCTTGTCAGAGCCCTTTCCACACAGCTCCCGTCTCCAGATTCCCAGTCCCACTCTTCCCTTCCCCTTTTCAGCCTAGGAGAAATAATGGTCCGTTGTTGGCTTCCTACACTCTGCCCACACCTAAATAGAAAAATGACCCTTTATTAAACTCTTTTCAGTTATCCAGTTTGAAAATTGTGTCTGCTTTTTGCCAGAACTCTGACTACTGCAGTAATCCTCTAGGAATTTAAGGTATTCAACAATTTCAGTGTTACTCATGGAGAATCCAGTTTGGGAGCGCAGAACTAGGGTCTCACCAGTCACCGAGCAAACCCATTACAAATGTCCTCAAAAGATACCCCTCCTAATAATTCCAGTCCTTACCCAGGAGAGCCACTTGACTCTAGAACAGGCCCTACCTCATCAATCCTGCCATAGGCAAGTTGAAGTAACAACAGAGTTCAGGACATGCTACACCAAAATATGGCACCCTAGCATGTGAGGAAACAGCAGAAGTAGGATATGGGAAGAATTCCACTTGTACCTTTTCCCCTGAAGTGGGCCATAAAACATCCCCTGAAAATAGGTCATAAAACTCTCATTCCAGAGGAGTCCTCTGTATTCCTGGAAAAAGGAATGTCACAGAGATATCAAGAAGCATTGGGACAAAGAGGCCTTCTTAATTTCCCCCCAGTTTACTACCATTAGATCATACTCTTTTGTTCTCTAATCATATCTCTCTGTATGACTGTCCATAAAAATATAGTTTTCCCTGTTTCTTTGGGTCTTTATTTCTGAAGGCTACCATGTCACATAAAATTTGTATTAAATAAATATATATGCTTTTCTCTTGTTAATCTGTCTTTTGTTATGGGGTCTCAGCCATAAACCTTGTGATGGGTGAGGAAAAACTACTACATTTTTTTCCTACACTAACACCCAGCATTCTGCAGTGAGGTCAGGGAGTAGACAGAATTCTAAGAGACCTCCAAGCTTCCCAGCCCCTGACACACACACATTTTTCCCAGTAATTTAATCCATGCCAATCTA